TCGGCAGATGCGCGTAGCTGAGTAAAGGTGGCAGAAAATCGGAGCTGCTTCTGCCTGCATTCTGCATTATTCAAACACAGACCCTGCTCTGACATGTATGATTATTTTGTGATTTCACCTGTTTGGATTGTCGGCAGGCAGCACGGTGGCGTAACTGGTAGAGCTGCTGCCTCTCAGCGAGCAGGTCCTTGGTTCAAACCCCGGTCCAGGGGCCTTTCTGGGTGGAGTTTGCATGTTCTCTCCGTGCATGCGTGGGTTTTCTCCGGGTACTCCGGTTTCCTCCCACAGACCAAAAACATGCATGTTAGGCTGATTGGTAACTCTAAATTGTCCCTAGGTGTGAGTGAGAGAGTGAATGTTTGTTTGGCTTGTTTGTCTCTATGTGGCCCTGTGATGGACTTGCGACCCGTCCAGGGTGTACCCCGCCCCTCGCACAGTGATTGCTGGACATGGGCACCAGCGACCCCCGTGACCCAAAATGGAACAAACGGGTAAAGATAATGGATGGATGGATGGATTGTCAGCCGTGCACATCCGCTGAGTGCAGCGGCTGAAGGAACATCCATTTGGGCTGATGGCTCACTAGCAGTAGTTCATCGGCAGCTTAACTGAACTTTTTACCTTTTCAAGGCCAGTCAGCGTGTGCTCAAATGGCCGCGTACGGCTGGTGAGTGTATGGCAAGCCATGTTGCCATATAATTGGATCGTCGGCCACACACATAAGCTGACACAATCAAAAACCCAACACTGACCCGGCCCGCACATTAAGCACATTATTATGGCTCGGCCCTAATTCGAATCTGGCAAGGCTGGGCTCCGGGTTCAAGTTAGAAATGACAGCTCTAATTGAATGAAACTTAAAGATGTGCATGTCACCCTACACGTTATACATCAACGTTTTTAACAAAGACTATGCATGATCTGTTAATGCTCAGAGTATGTGTTTTGGATGACTCTTAGATACCACAACACTAAATTTCATCTGAATATCTGTAGAATTGACGGAGTTAAAGTCACCTCTGTGTTTGCAAAGGATGATTAGCTGCGGCAGCTCTCTCCAGTCAAGCTGACTGAAAAGTTAATCAGTTGTAGATGTTCATCCAGTGATTACTTTTGAAAATTTATTTAAAATATGTCCAGTAGTTCATGAAATAGTTTGTTAACAAATATACACAAAGAGAGAGAGGAAATTATATGATCAACATGCACAAATAAGCATAGCACATGTGATGTCACATATCAGATTGTATGTTTTCTATATAACATTTGTCTTTTTAATAGAAACTTTGTAAAACATGTTAATCTTAAACACCCAGCATATAAACTCAAACATGACTACAAAATACAAGCTTTCCTATGCTTTGTGTTAATTTTTATATTTAATTTATATACCCTCGCTGGTGTTGTACATGTTTATCATCAGTGAGCTGCTCAGCTGTAAGTTAAACATAAATAAGACTTAACATTTCATTATTCCGACATGGCAGCTGAAACTTTAGAAGCCATAACTCGGTGCAATGTCAACACGACCTGAGTAAACACCATCTATCAGCTGATGGATGGGAAAAATAAAAATAAAACTCAGTTTACTGTCCAGGAGGAAAACTCATTTAGGTTGGAAGCCAACATGTAGCAGCAAACATCAACTTAAAGAAACACAAAGAGGAAAAAAAGCACGAAAAGCTAGACTTTGTAAAATCTGAATGACAGGTATAAACAGTTATGTTTTCTTACTGATGTTTTAAATATGATATCAAGTAGTACTTGAAAAATGAACATCTGTTGTACAAACCGGATTCCAAAAAAGTTGGGACACTAAACAATTTGTGAATAAAAACTGAATTCAATGATGTGGAGATGGCAAATGTCAATATTTTATTCGTAATATAACATAGATGACAGATCAAAAGTTTAATCTGAGTAAATGTAACATTTTAAAGGAAAAATATGTTGATTCAAAATTTCACAGTGTCAACAAATCCCAAAAAAGTTGGGACAAGTAGCAATAAGTGGCTGGAAAAAGGAAATTGAGCATATAACGAACAGCTGGAAGACCAATTAACACTAATTAGGTCAATTGACAACATGATTGGGTATAAAAAGAGCTTCTCAGAGTGTCAGTGTCTATCAGAAGCCAAGATGGTAAGAGGATCACCAATTCCACCATTGTTGCGCAGAAAAATAGTGCAGCAATACCAGAATGGTGTTACCCAGCGTAAAATAGCAAAGACTTTTAAGTTATTGTCAACCGTGCATAACATCATCAAAAGATTCAGAGAATCTGGAACAATCGCTGTGCGTAAGGGTCAAGGCCGTAAAACTCTACTGGATGTTCGTGATCTCCGGGCCCTTAAACGTCACTGCACCTCAAACAGGAATGCCACTGTCAAGGAAATAACAGAATGGGCTCAGGAATACTTCCAGAAAGCATTGTCAGTGAACACAATCCACCGTGCCATCCGCCGTTGCCAGCTGAAACTCTACAGTGCAAAGAGGAAGCCATTTCTAAGCAAACTCCACAAGCTCAGACGTTTGCACTGGGCCAGGGGTCATTTAAAATGGAGTGTGGCAAAATGGAAGACTGTTCTGAGGTCAGATGAGTCACGATTTGAAGTTCTTTATGGAACACTGGGATGCCATTTCATCCGGACCAGAGAGGACAAGGATAGCCCAAGTTGTTATCAACGCTCCGTTCAGAAGCCTGCATCACTGATGGTATGGGGTTGCATGAGCGCTTGTGGCATGGGCAGCTTGCATGTCTGGAAAGGCACCATTAATGCAGAGAACTATGTTCAGGTTCTAGAACAACATGCGCCCATCTAGACGTCGTCTCTTTCAGGGAAGACCCTGCATTTTTCAACACGATAATGCCAGACCACATTCTGCAGCAATCACAACATCATGGCTGCGTAGGAGAAGGGTCCGGGTACTGAAATGTCCAGCCTGCAGTCCAGATCTTTCACCTATAGACAACATTTGGCGCATCATAAAGAGGAAGGTGCGACAAAGAAGGCCCAAGACGATTGAACAGTTAGAGGCCTGTATTAGACATGAATGGGAGGGCATTCCTATTTCTAAACTTGAGAAACTGGTCTCCTCTGTCCCCAGACGTCTGTTGAGTGTTGTAAGAAGAAGGGGGGATGCCACACAGTGGTAAAAATGGACTTGTCCCAACTTTTTGGGGATTTGTTGACGCCATGAAATTTGGAAACAACAGATTTTTCCCTTAAAATGATACATTCTCTCAGTTTAAACTTTTGATCTGTGATTTGTGTTCTATTCTGAATAAAATATTAGATGTTGGCACCTCCACATCATTGCATTCAGTTTTTATTCACAATTTGTTTAGTGTCCCAACTTTTTTGGAATCCGGTTTGTAATAATTGGACAAAAAATAATCTAACTTTATGTTTTTTCTTTTGATATTTATTTCTTTGTTGTATTGTCTACAGCTGTACATGTATTTAATTATGTGTGATTTCAAATATTTTTTACCATAAAATTTTAAATATTATGAAATATAAACATGATTTGAAATGTCTTTTACATTTGTTGCAATAACTTTACATTAACGTTGTGCATATTTTGTCATATTAGGTTAATTTGAGTTTGAAGCTTGTTTTTACATTATTTTCTTTCATTTTATTGCATCTTTCTGTGATTTTAGTCTCTTTAAATGATCATTTTATCATTTATTTTAACTTTGTTAAAGAGGCATCAAGGTCGATTTCACGCTGACTTGCCTTTATTAATGTTGGCCTGTTCAGATTTCATCTGAAGAACTATAGTTAACAATAAACATTTATTTTTGTAACTTGCAGTTGTATAGAAAATTTGATTGTGTTTTCATGTTAAGATGTTTAATAAAGCTCCAGGTTACAGGGCATTCTTTCTGTCTCACCTTTAATACGAACACTGTATTTTACAAGTTATTACACATATATTTGCAAACTAAAAACTAAAAACAGGTATAGTAACACTTTATAAATCAAATAATTGCTCCCTATAAAGATTTATAGTTTATAATTTTGCACCCCTCAAAACATAAAAGGGCACCAAATCATTGGACAATCATATTTTATCAACAAGGCCTCAATCTAAAGAAATTACAACAGAGTTTAGATAAAAGAAATAAACTATTACATTTGTCACAACTACCGTAGATTCTTACAAATTACAGCTCGATAATCGTAGGCAATTAATAAATAAATGTTTTAATGTATTTGTTCTTATAAAATATAGTTGTCACAATGTAAACTGCACTTGAAGATGTCTTTAGGTGGCAGCATTATTATAACAGCCTTAAAAAAACATTCCAGGTATTAGAAATAGCTAACTTATATATATATATATGTATATATATGTGTATATATATATATATATATATATATATATATATATATATATATATATACATATATATATATATATATTTTTTTTTTTTTTTTACTCATTTAAAGCTTATATAAGGTAGATGTACTAATGCAGCCTTAGCAATATCAGATTTTTGAGTGTAGAAATGACTGGTCAATGGTGAAGATGAAAATCTGCTGATTGTGGTCAAATCTGCTTTTAATTGCTGCTTCCTGATTCAGTTTTTGATTATGATGATGATGATGATGATGATGATGATGATGAGAAGGTTCTATTTAAACAACAAAAGGCCTAACATTCCTTGAAGGAATGCGTATCACCCACCGCCTTTCATGATAGAGCAGGGCTGTTCAACTGGTGGCCCGGGGTCCAAATCAGGCCCACGGATGGACTCAGCTCAGCCCACCAATGGGTTCATTCTTAAATAAAACTAGATTTTAAACCATAAAACAAATTTAATTAATGACAATAACTGCTGGATGTCCAGCCCCTGAGCTCTTGGCTTTCAGTAACTGCGCACCCCTGAGCAATTTAGTTCAATAACCCTGTGCTAGAGTTTTAGACTATGATCACGTGTTGAGAAATGACAGAAAGCATTAAAACCACCTGATTTATGAGGTACTTACTATTGCTGGACTTGAGGTCTCTGTGGATGATTGGTACGAAGGCCTGGTTGTGCAGGTAGTTCATCCCTGTTGCAATCTGCACAGCCCAGTTCACCAAAACTCTCGGTGGAACCTTTTTTCCAGCCAAAGCTCGGTTAAGAGCGCCCCCTCTGGCGTACTCCATCACCAAACACAGGTTAGGCTCCTTCAGGCAGACCCCACGCAGAGCGATAATGTTGGGGTGGCGAAGCATCCAGAACAGCCTGGCCTCCTGCCGCACGCTCTCCGCCGTGACGCTAATATCCTCATCTGGATCCTGCCGGGCAGCCTTCACAGCTACTTCTTCTCCCCTCCACCCTCCTTTGTACACCTTCCCAAACCCACCGGCTCCTATCACTTCCTCCAGGTGCAGTTCAGAGAAGTTAATCTCTACAGGGGAATCTCCCACGCCTCCTGCCACCAGCCCTCCAGCAGTCAGCTGCTGGTAATTGGCAGTATCTCCTTTAGTGACATAGTTGCTTGGAAAGATACCGACCTTGTCCTGGATCTTTCCTGTCCACCAACCCTCGTCCCCCGACACTTTGGAGTCTTTGGAAAGGACCTCAAGGAGGTCCCCACGACGCAGGGTCAGCTCCTCGTCTGCTGTGGCCTCGTAGTCAAACACCGCCGTCCAGTAAGTGTTGGGGTTGTTGGCCCCACAGCGATGACCGGGATGGGAGTCTGGGGAGTCGAAGGAGGAAAGAGTGGAGGAGTTCCAGCTGTTGCCATTCTCCACCCGCACAACTGGGGCGGGAGACATTGGCGGAGGTGGGGTCATGTTTGGGGGCATGGAGGAGGTGGAGTTGGTGGAGGACGGGGGTCCAGGGGGAATGAGGCAAGGGGGAGGTGGTGAGCAGCAGCCCCCGCAGCTGGTGCAGGCCGGGGGGGCTGCTTTGGTGCTCGCTCTGCCGTATGGGTTCATGGCAGCGTCAACTCAAGCGTAAAATCCATGTAGGGCCCATTGACTGAGACGGGTGTCCTCGACCACCAGACGGAGGAAGTGAGGATCGGAGGCTCAGGGAGCAGCAAACATGCTCCACCGTCACCACATGTCAGGGGTGAGGTTGTCCCAAACGCAGTGTGCACGTATATGTGTTCCCAAAGGGCAGGTTCACTCATCGGGTCAAACAATGATCCTCAGAGGAGCAGATCCATGAGCAGATTCCCCCAAAAAACTAACTATTTCCACGTACAACTGAGTCCTTTGCAAAGCTGACACAAATTCGCAAAGGAGACCTTCAAAAAAAAACTCAGCAGCAACAACTTTTGTGAAAGTTGCCTCAGTTCGATTCCTTCACAAATCCACTATAAGAGTTTTAACACCGAGTGCTACAGACAGTTCTTTGTTAGAATTCGGTGGCGATAATTGAAACCGAACAGAAGTAAAGTCTGAGCTCATTGTGTCGGTCTTGTAGTTTTAATTACTGGCTTCTGTGTGGTAAATTTCAGGCCGATGTTATTATAAACTCTGCTCTGCGGTAGCTTTACACTTCCAGAGACAATACTAAAACCCCAGCTGACTGCCAGATTCAATTTAGGATGGAAAACGAACTATTAGGCTCCAAATAATAATAAAAAAATGAACAAGAGCTGAGTAAATTTCTCTGTGCAGGGGTCTCCATTATATCTCATCCAGCCGATGCCCCTCCCCCACCAGCCATCTTCATGGATATGAGCCGTTTCCTCCTCTATATGTATATATTGTGTGGAAATATCCTCGGATGTTCGCCCTACATCCCGACAAGCTGGTCCAGGCTAAATCCTACATGCATGAGCCGGTTCTCTGAATAGTCTTTGATTAAAAAAAATAAAAATAAAAAAAGGGGAGGGGAGGCGAATGGGTGGAGGGGGGGTGTTCATTTTAAGACAGCTGAGGAATTAAGAGTTAAGCTGACAGCTGCAGGGTGGCAGGTATTCAGGGCAGGGGCTGGAAAGTGGCACCACGGTCAGCATCAGGTCTGAGCCCAACAAAAACTCGCCTCCGTCTCTGCGCGGCGGCCTGATTCAGTCTGCTCCTCTGTGGGGGCCACATCCGTGATGGAGAGCAGCCTCTTCTTCACTGGAGGCAGAAAAACATGCCAGCATTTTGTTGTTAGCCTGCTGCTACCGAGCACCCATGCGGCTCGCCAGGCTGGACGTGTGCGGCTTTAAATGTCTTTAAGGTGGAGAATATTATCAGGGGAGATGGAAAAGGGCCATGAAGAGAACCTCTGTCTCCATTTTTTTCTTACATCAAATGGCACCCCATCCCAATACTGTAATAATAATAATAATAATAATAATAATAATAATAATAATAATAATAATTGGATGGCGTTTAATGCAATGTGTCCTCCGCCTCGATCAGCTTGATTTTTAATCCGTAAACATTTCGAGTTTACTGTAATCTAACCTGAACACTGAGGGCAGCAACATCCACTGACTTCGACGCATTTGGTCGGTACATATCCATAAGACAGAACCATCAAGGACGGGCTTTACAAGGATCGCGGCAGTCCCGGTTCGAGTCGCTCAGCTGGAGCTCCGTCGTGTCCAAACAGGCTCCGAAAGGATAGTCGCACCATCTCGAGCTCCGAGCTGTCAGTCTGCGGGGCTGGGTTTGCATCCAAACACACCGGTGTGCCGTTCAAGTACACGGGAGCGAGCGCGTCCTCAGTGAGCTCAGATCCGCTGATCTCCAAATCATATAGATGGGTCGCAACTAACAGGGTTGCTTAAGCGTGTGCAGTATGCGCATGTGCACAGATCCGTGCGCCGCAAACCTCAAAGGGCGAAGAGGAGAACGCTACAACGTGACGGAACAAGAAGTAGCATTATGGGTAATGTAGTCTCTAAGGACTCTCCTCCTGACCTACATCTTTCTGGCAGCTGATATAACCACATAATTACCAATATTACAATAGCATTACGAAGGATTAGTTTAATTAAAAATGACGTCTAGCTTATTTATTTTCCGACACTTTTTTATATTGCTTTCTTTTACATTTTAATGAAACTACATCTGAAAAATAAAGCTTAATTTTGATGATTGATTAAAAATATAAAATGCAATTAGTCAATAATACGTCAAACGTTTGGACTAAACCTGATACATGGTCTCAAAATACCAGGTTGCTACTTTTTTGGCACTATTATTATTATTATTATTATTATTATTATTATTATTATTATTATTATTATTATTATTATTATTATTTGCTTTAGATATAAATTTAGAAATCTGTTCAAGCTGTAATGGCTGCCCTGGGTCCTAAATCAGACACACACACACACACACACACATACAATATTGAAAATACAATCTGATTTTTTTTTTTTTTTCATTTTCAATTTCCATGGCATCAAAATTCATTATAATTCAGATGAATTCTTGGAGATTAATTTTAGACACGTCTATGAGGTTACATTTACTCAGACATAACAGTTTTTAATCTATACTGACCCCTAGTGTCTATATTGATAAACAAAAAATATACATTTACTGTAGCGTAATCCAAAAGGTTATATTTGGACTACTGTCGGTATATGCCATTGTTTGACTCTAAAATAACTAGAGGTTTGTTTTCCTGCAAGTACTGGGACTGACTAAAGGCTTTTCTGTGATGCGTTGTTATAAAACATGGTTATTTATGCATAAATGCAGCATTTCAACAGCTGTTTCATGACAAATTTATTGGTTGTGGATGTGGCTTATAAAATGAGATTTTTATTTTATAATAAACAAAATGCTATCTAACCAGACATGATGTACTGGTTTCAAATTTTCCTTTTCAATGCACATATTACAAATATAAAATTTTGTCAGTTACAATAAAACATGACCAGTGTTTGACCCAAAATGTTATTGTTTCCTTTAATTTTACATGACAGTGGACGAATATGTTTGTAGTCTCTGATGTTTTATCACTAGATTCCAATTCTGGCACAAATCCTGGTTCAGACACAGCAGACCAGGGTGGAAAACATAAATAGCCTGTAAGATTTTGAAGCAGTTTCCAATGCTTTGCTGTCAGCAAGAAAAGAAAAACGTTTGGACAGAGACGGATACTAGCATGTTGGACCAAATTTATACTGTCACACCACAATGTCTGCACTTTAAACAGTTCCTTGAACAGATAAAGCATTTGGAAACCTACATTAATTACTAGGTATGTCTGGTAAAATACAGAAACATGTGATCAAATGAATGTTTCTAATTTTTAAAAGAAAGTTCAATCTGGTCAAAAAGTTTAATTCAATTTGAAGTTATTGCATTTTTATACGCTTTCATTTCAGGGAACATCCATCCATCCATTATCTTTTACCCGCTTTTCAGATCACAGGGGTCACTGGTGCCCATATCCAGCAGTCACTGTGCGAGAGTCTGGGTACACCCTGGACAGGTTGCAAGTTCATCACAGGGACACACAGAGACAAACAATCATTCACTCTCTCATATATTTTTTAAATGTACCACTCTTATGGCATTTATTTTCTGCAGTTACATTTTTTCCCATTATTTTATTTTCAGTTAAGAATATTATTATATTTAGTCGTACTGCAGCAGCACACATCTATAGTGTTATTGATACCTAATCCATCAGTACCCCAAATCTTGCTCACTGACATTTAAGAGCGGAATGACAGAAATGAAAAAATATGTTTAAAATAAATAGCAATACTGGCAGTGGACGAAGACATGGGCCTTGGTGCTGTGACCCTGGCTTACCAAAGCTGGCTCTTGGGACATGGAACGTAACCTTTCTGACAGGGAAGGAGCCTGAGCTTGTACGTGAGACTGAGGGGAAGCAGACTAGATATAGTTGGGCTCACCTCGACGCACAGCATGGGCTCTGGAACCAATCTCCTTGAGAGGGGATGGACCTTATTCCACTCTGGAGTTGCCCATGGTGAGAGACACAGAGCTGGTGTGGGTCTACTTTTAGCTCCCCAACTTGACGCCTGTGTGTTAGAGTTTTCCTCGGTGGATGAGAGGGTGGCTTCCCTGCACCTTCGGGTGGGGGGACAGGCTCTGACTGTCACGCTCAGCGGCCCCCGTGCCCCCCCATCTGTTCAAGCCTCTGCTCCTCATAACACAGCCCCTGTTTTAAGATCATTCACGTTTTTTCCTGCTTTCGTTTTGAGTTCCCCTCTCATTCATTCAGCTCCTGTCACCCTGCGCCACGCCCCCTCCACCATCTACCGCAATCTAGGTTCACGAGCAACACCTGTTCAGTCCACTATTTAAGCTCCCTGTTTTCCCTCAGTTGTTGCCAGATAATTATAGGTTCTTCCCGTAGATATCCAGCGTTCCCTCTTTGTATCACAGTTTTCGACCATAGCTTTGCCCACGACCTCTCGTTCTCGCCTTTGCCACCGGACTGGATTCCTCGCCTATATCTGATCATATTGACGACCGCTTTCCCTCCTTGACCATGATTTTTGGATTCCCCTTTTGGTTCTTCTGCCTGGCTGCATTCCCCTCTGGTTTTTGACCCTTGCCTGCCCCTGGATCAAGTTCTGCTGCCTAAACCCCTCAGTGTCACAGCTCGCCCATCCAGCCTCGCTACCTGTTCGTGCTCACGCTGCGCGCTGCTGCTCCTTGCGCATGTTACCGGCTCCTGAGATTCGGACCGGTACCGAGACCCACCTGGCCCACATCTCAGACTGGTTCCAGAGACAGAAGGTTGGTGGCTTTATTCTTGTTTACTCTGTTCAGTCTAGTCTGCTTGCAGCCACTAATCTGTCTGTCTCCCTCAGAGCGATCCGGTACCAGAACCTCTTGCCAGACGCTGCCGGTTTAAAAATAAACATTTTAAAACCTTTTTCTGAGTCTGTGCTTGTCCGATCCACCCCAATTCGTGACACTGACAGTTGTTTGTACCTACGTGCCAAAAAGCAGTTCAGAGTATCTGTCCTTCTTGGAGCCCTTAGCGGGGGATGCTGGAAGGTGTGCCAGCTGGGGACTCTTTTATCCTGCCGGGGCACTACAATACCCACATGGGTAACGACAGTGTGACCTGGAGGGGCGTGACTGGGAGGAATGGCCTCTCTGACCTGAGCCTGAGCGGTGTTCTGTTGTTGGACTTCTGTGCTAATCATGGTTTGTCCATCACAAACGCCATGCGCAAACATAAGGGTGTGCACGTGGCACCAGGATGCCCTAGGTTGCAGATTGTTGATTGACTTGTGTTATGAGTTGACTTGAGTTGTGTCCTCTGATTTGCGGCTGTTTGTTTTAAACACTCGAGTGGACCATGTTCCGCAGCTCGGTTGTTGGAAGTGGCTGCCTTGAGCTGCGGCCACAAGGTTGTCGGTGCTTCTCGTGGTGGCCATCCTCGAACTCGGGGGGTGGGACACCCCGGGTTAGGGAGGCTGAGAGTCTTATCGGGCCTTGTTGGCTGGTGGAACTCTGGAAGCAGCTGAGGAGTACTGGAGAGCCAAGCGGTCAGCAGCCTAGGCTGTTTCTGAGGTAAAAACTCAGATGTGGGAGAAATTTAGTGACGCCTTGGATAAAGACACTCAGTTTGTGCTGTCATTTCTAACCCAAACCAGGCTTGCACCGACCAGGATTAGGGCTGGGCTATTATAATGTCATTTAATGGGCGGGCTGAGTCGGTCTCGGGCTTTTAATAGGGTCAGGATCAGCCACAATCTAATTATATGCTGACTCGGATCCTCAAAGTCATGGGGGTTAGCCCATCCAGTCTACGTGTTTTGTGGACTTGGAGAAGGCATTCGACCGTGTTCCTCGGGGTACACTGTGGGGAGTGCTCCGTGAGTATGGGCTTGGAGGCCTGTTGCTAGGAGCTGTTTGGTCCCTGTACAAGCGGTGCAAGAGTTTGGTTTGCATTGCCGGTATTAAGTCGGACCCCTAGGGTGGGATTTGAACTTCACCAGGGATGCCGTGATTCGGTTCATAACTTTCATGGACAGAATTTCTCTGTGTAGCCAGGGGGTGGAGGGATTCCTTTCGGTTCGGTGGCCTCAGGATTCCATCTCTGCTCTTTGCAGATGATGTGGTCCTGTTGGCATCATCTTGCCATGATCTCCAGCTCTCACTGGAGCGGTTCACAGCCGAGTGTGAAGTGACTGGGATGAGAATCAACACCTCCAAATCTGAGGCCATGGTCCTCAGTCAGAAAAGGGTGGCTTGCTCTCTTCAGGTCGAGGATGAGGTTCTGCCTCAAGTGGAGGAGTTCCAAGTTAGGCCTGTCACAATAAACAATAAATCAATTAATTGCATGATAAATGAAAATTATCAACCTCATTTTCATTTATCGGCTTTGTCTCTCTCTTTCTACTGAAGACACTGGATGACAAAAGGCTCAACTCTGGTGCTCTTCACTGACCCCTCCCTTTCGCTTATCACTTTAAAATCCATTTTAACCGTCCAAAATTGTGTTTTTGGATCATTAAAATAAGCTAAGCTGAGAAGCTAAGCTAACAGGCTGACCTCAGGGAAAAAACCTCCGTCTTGTCAAAGCTCCAAAATTCACGGTTGAAACTGGTGCCTTCGTGTAAAAAGTTTTTATCTGCAAAAAGAAGCTGAGAACTTGTTTACTGATTAAAAGCTTTGTGTGACAAATGCTATGCTAAAGCGCTCAAACTACACTGAACATCTGCCATTTTGAGAACTGAAAAACAGGAATGTGAGACAGCCCATGTCATGTCAAGGGGCCTCCCTCACATTTTTTCTTAAAGAGACATGCTGCTCGCTCCCTCTCAATCCATCCTTCGGTTCAAACAGTCTTATACTGCCATCCAGTAGTCAAAAACTGGTACTACATGCAAAACAAATTAACCAACTTTTTTTTTATTTGACAATAATTGCTAATTATTGTCAAATTTCAAACAATATCATTTATCGCAATAATTTCTGAGACAATTAATCGCACAGCAAAATTTGTTATCATGACAGGCCTAGTTCAAGTATCTGAGTTTTTTGTTCGTGAGTGAGGGAAGTATGGAGCGTGAGATTGACGGATGGATTGGTGCAGTGTCTGCAGTATTGCAGACTCTGTGGTGGTCCGTTGTGATGAAAGGGAGCAGAGCTGTAAGGCAAAGCTCTTGGTTTACCAGTCGGTCTACATACTCTCACCTATGGCCACAAACTCTGGGTAATAACCAAAAGAATGAGATGGTGGATACAGACGATTGAAATGAGTTTCCTCCACAGGGTAACTGGACTCTCCCTTAGAGAGGGTGAAAAGTTCAGTTATCTGAAGAGACTGGGAGCTCCTCCACTTCGAAAGGAGCCAGTTGAGGTGATTCAGGCATCTGGCAAGGATGCTCCCTGGGCGCCTAGGGAGGTGCTTCAGGCATTTCCGAATGGGAGGAGACCCCAGTGAAGACCCAGGACATGCTAAACTACGTCTTTTGGTTGGCCTGGGAATACCTTGGGGTCCTCCCAGAAGAGCTGGAAGAGGTGGGTGTGGAAAGAACTGTCTGGGCCTCCCTGCTCAAGCTGCTGCTCCTGCAATCCAACTTTGGAATAAGAGGAAGATAATAGATGGATGGATGGATGGATGGATGGATGGATGGATGGATGAATACAGTGTTAAGAAATAAAATATGTTTACGTCTGACTGGAATAAAATGAACAGTTTCTTGCTCACAAGAACACAGATCTCACAGAGATGTATTAGGATCCAATAAAATGTATTTTTCTTGATGGCAGTATTTAATTTTGAGTTGCTCATTTTCAGGTATTTCACAAAAGTTTTACTACGCTTTTAATAAAACATTCAAATGTTAATTTCCAGCAACATCAGGGAGTGCGCTTATAATGGGAAATAACCACAAGGTTGTGCTGTTGGACAATTTGTCAGCAATGCATCATTGAATTTAATAAAATGTGAAGATAAACCAGCAATGATTACCGGTGTCGTGCCACATTTGGTATCCCCGATAGTCAGATGTAGACTTTTCACAGTAAAAAAAATAAAATAAAAATTAGTCAGAACTATACAACAAAGTTCAGGTTTGAGCTATTTCTCCAGTACAATTTTAACTTTTGTTACATTATACTTGAACATCACATGTATTTATTAAACATAACAATTGTTATGTTGTATTTTCAGATTAATCATAGCAGATATTATTAGGAAATTAATTTTGATTAAAGTAATGCTTTATTGATCATTAGAGGTTTATGTACAAGCAAATTTAAGCAGCTATTTTCAATTGTAATATATATTTTTAAATAATAGAGACTGTGTCATAATTGTTGGGAACATATACCAGTACTAGTAAGAGAAAGTATTTTTATATAAAACATATAAAATGGATGATTTTAAATATATTTTCATAATAAGTTATTTTGTTTTATTTATTATTAATGTTAGATGCAGAATACATTGCAGTGCAAAGATTCCTGTAAATGCAGAAGATTTAATTAAAAACAAATGGAGCTACCAAAAAAAAAAAAACCCCAACAGATTCCAGAGCAGCTAAATGAGGAAGAACACAACATTATCCATCGCTGCTATTTCCTCAATTTCATCACTTCCCTTTATAGTCCCTTTATATCATAATCAATGGTGTTTAATCCTTTAGCTATTACTGTAACTCTAATCCATTTATTTTGTGTCTGATAGTAGTTTATATTTATGTTGATGTTTGTTTTTCTGTATTCTAAATATTTAGGAGTTTGTTTCATATATATATATATATATATATATATATATATATATATAGTTTTTTTTTTTATGCATCACGGTTTTTGTTTTCCTTTATAAGATATTTGTGGAAAAAAAGTTTTAGCATCTAAATTGCCCAAATTGTAATATTATACACTTTAAAAACTGGGTATGTCCATGCTATGGAGCCGCTATAGTATAATATTTAGTACATTATTTTAGTACAAATTCCTGTTTTGTATTATTTTGGTTTGCGTTCAGTCTCACTGCTGCCCCCTGTGTTACTATCTGTACACTGCAGCAGTTGGTGCCGCGCATGCGCATTAGGAGTGCGGGCGCAGTTGTGCGGTGGTTTCGGTTGAGCATTCTTGGTAAGCTCGCGCTCGGGGAACAGGCTGCCGACTGACGGTAAAAACCAAGGGTCGTTTTCTTCATGTCAGGGGAGTTGCGTTAACGGAGTAGCTGAGACACCGGAGCAACTTCGGGTAAGATCTTTCTGTTCTTGGTTTCTCCAAACCAGTTGAACTGTATTAAATATTCACAGCTGGCGAAGTAGACATTAGCGAGCAAAGCAAACACCGAGGGAGACTAAAAGCTGATCCGACCAACTTCAGTCAATGAAGAGAGCAGCGTCCGCGTATAAACGTGTTTCACGGTTCCACTTGAAGCCCCGGGCTCACTTCTCCTCTTCGAGCCTCCAATCATGCACCCGAGCCCACAAAGCTTTAAAAACACCGCGACATTTTATGTACTTCTACTACAACCTTCCTAATCGTAAGGGTTCTAGTGCGCATGCTCTTCGGGTTCCACAAACTTCGAATTTGTAGTTTTTTTGTACCCGAGTTAATCACAGTAGTGAGGGCCGAGAGAAAACGGTAAAACTACAAGTTCCAGACAATGGGAGCTTTGTTTGGGAGCTTGGGTAGTCGGCTAGTTAGCATGGACGAGGTTTGAATTTCGAGTAGTTGTGCCGCAATCGGAAGTTGCCTTGGCTGGGCATTATTTGAGAAGCAGCAGCAAGGGAAATGTTTTTGTTGCAAGGGTTAAGTGATTTATTTTGAAAGGACGGTGGAGGGTTGCAGTAGTTGTAAAATGGCAGGGGTTTTGGCACGAAAAGGGTGTGCAACATGTCTTAATTGTGGTAGTAAAAGCAGGATTGGGTGAGCTCTAAAGCATGTGCTGACATGCAGAGTTCGTTCACCTGTCAGGAGACGCGCGCGCGCGCGCGTGTGTGCAGTTAAGCGTGTACATTGAATGGGAAGAGATGATGATTTCTCTTTACTCATTGACTGAACCCCCTCGTGCTGCTGCTGTAGTCCCCAACCTGCAGGATGTGACACCTTGAGCAATATGATGATGGATTCGTCTGAGCAGCAGAGCATGATGCACTGCACAGTTTACCTCGCTTGCTTGCCACCTGGAACTAATGGACTAATGATGATCAGCAAAACGCGTGAAATGATGTTGGGTATTTTACAACCCCTGGCAAAGAAATATGGAATCAGAGGATGTTCTTTGAATTGTTTAAAATTGTATTAAAAAAAGAGTCATGCTTCTGGCATTCAAACCAATGAAAAGGAGAAACGACTACTGTAGTCAAGTCACCATTGCTGTTTTTAATGAAATCATAAGAAAAACTTCCCCATTAATACTTTGTTGCACCACCTCTGACTTTTATAACAGTTTTAAATCTTTGAGGCGTGAACTAATGTCAAACAGTCCTCTTCATCAGTCTGCCTCAAACTGTCCTGTTGCCAGATCAGCTTCAGAGGTTGGAACCTTGTCACAGACTATTTTCTTCAGTTTCCCAGAGATTTTCAACCGGATTGCGATCCAGAGTATTTGCACATCATCTTTCTTGAAGGGAAGTTTTTAGGTCCTTTGTCCTATGACAAGATGCTTTTATCATCTTGAAAAATGAAGCCATGATCACTAAAATTATTTTCAACTGATGGAATAAGGAAGTGTCTTAAATTTCAGTGTAGACTTGGGCATTTATTGAAGGTGTAATGATGGATATCTCTTCTGTGTCATTACCTGACATGACTCATCTAGTCACCCACAGTCCATGATTGCTTTATTTAGCCCACAGTTGCCTCGTTCTTTTCTGTTTGGGTGTTAATGTCGTTCAACTTTATCCCATTTCTTTTAGGTCATTTTGTATGTTTCCATCACAGATGTGTATTTTCTGTTTTCAAGACATTTTGCTTTAGGTTTAAGTTCACCCATCTGTATCAGCACAGTGTTTATGTACAGTTATGATAACCCAACACTTGATGTTCCTTTTGAGCAGAAATCAGCTTTGAACACATACATCCTGCACTGTTCTCATCTGAACTCTTTGCTGATTATAACAACATGATTCTGCCCATTAGGTTTCATTGCATAATGCATTCCTTGTTGTGAAGCAATAATGCACTGTGTTTACTTTCCATATCACTTACATACAAATTTGAGATAACGACACCAGAACTAGGCAGGGTAGTTGTTAAAGAATCAGAAAGCTGTCTGCCTGTGCATTTCAGTGTTTTAACTGAAAATTCTAAATGTCTATTATTCATCGATGCACTGGTGCTTAGGGCATGAAAGAGCTTCACTATTGTATCTCGTAGCCTTTGTATTTGAACTTTTGCTATCTCTACCTGCTTGACAAAGTAAAAGTCTTTGAAATTGCAGCAGGATATTAGTCATTAGCTATGTTTACATGCGCAGAATTCTCTGACCGGATTGAAATGTGTTCTGTTTGAATAATTCAAATGTGTTGTTTACATGGGCACAATCTGTTCATGATGAGCGTTTACATGCAGCGGGCTTTGTTCTGAACAGCAGTACTGACATGCGCAGTTTGGTAAACTCTCCTTAAAAAAAACACCGAAGAAGAAGTTCTACTTCCGGGTGAACGTAAACAAACCTGAGCACCCAAAATGGACCCGCAACAGGTTTTAATGACGTTGGAGACGTTACTGCACTCCCTGACTGAGCTACAGGTAATAGAAATCATTTTGAGCTCTTTAAAAGTTTCTAGTAGAAATGTTGTCGCTCACCGACCAGTTTTACTTCCCTGACATGCTAATATTATTAGCGTTAGCCAGGCGGAAATGGCAAAGTCGCACATGCGCAGTCAGGTCAGTTTTTCACCATCAGATAAAAATGAACAGATCAAGCGTTTACATGCGCACCGATCGGGTTTCGGATCGGCGTAAACCACCCGTTTCGTTCTGATCAGAAATTATAACGGATCGCGCCGAATACACAAAAAATAACCCGAACGGAGCGTTTACATGACACACTTTTATTCCGACCGGCCATTTGATCCGGTTACTTATGTCCATGTAAACATACCCATTGGAGCAGCATGTCTCTGCATGCTTTTTGATTTGTTGAAAACATAAAAAAATTGTGATACATATTGCAGTCAGTTCAGCATCTGATGCAAGACTGTTGATTTTTCTATGTTTAAATTCCAGAATAATTACGGTATATGAAAACATTGAGCAGTTCAGGTGCCTCAGTTTACCTTAAGTTTACTTTATCTTCATCATAGCATGTACCTTATTTTGTAGACTACACTTCACCATTGCTCTTTTCAGTCATAAGGTAGTATCTAACTGGACTGGGACCGTTTGTGATTTTTGGTGTATTTTTATTTCAAAAGTGTACTTCAGTAGATTAAATCATAAACTTGTGGGCAATGAAATAATGTGCATGGTCTGAAATAAAGTGTTGCAAGCTGAACAGACAAAAAATAGGCCATTATTAAAAAAAAAAAAAAGTTCAAAACTTTGTCACATCACTTGCTGATGGTAAACACTTAGCATTCTGTGAGACTTCCCCCCAGATATTTTGTCCATTTTCTCATCATTTTTAAGTTACCACCTAATAGGAATGCGCGATATAAACGGTACACGGTAGAAACGATAGAAATTGAGCCTACGATAGAGATCTGTCTTCTACCGGCTAACCGCAGTAATGCTGTGTCTGATGTAAAATCAGAGTTTTCAATTTAATCGTTACTTTTTTTAGTTGAAAACTGTGCGCAAGTGGCGTTAAAGTCTTTTCTTCGAGAGCTAAGTAGCGAAGCTGCAAGCTAACTACAGCCAGCTTGCCATAGTGTTGCCGTATTCAGATGCATGCACAAAACGCTGTGTTCCGTCGAAAGTTAAAATAAGCGTTGGTCATCTTTAGAGAAAATAAGGCTGTGTTGTGTGATTTTACTGCGAGACCCTCTGGTCAAAGCCACAGACTCATTTTGTGTCAGTTCTCCTTTAAATCTGAAGGCGTCGCCCACTAGAGGGTTGGAGGGTGAAGTGTTTTCAGTTGCTGCTCTGTTGTTCATTTCTCAAGTGAGAAGACTGGAAACTGTTAAGTTAACAACATATTATTTTGTTTAAAACATATGGCTAAAACTACATTTGATCTTTTGCACTGTTTTGCACTACAAGCAAGAAGCCTAATACTTGATTTGTTTATTATTTAAAAACTCTCTGGACCTAGTAGTGACATTTTCTTAATTCAAAATATATGATAGCAAAAGGACACCCTATGCTTTTTAAAATTCCTATTAAGTTTTATACCAAAAAACATATCGCGATATTTATCGTTATCGCCACCCTTCACAACACATATCATGATATGAATTTTATGCCATATCGCACATTCCTACCACCTAATTTACAACAGTCTCAACTCCGTGAGACCTTTGCACCTGTTCTCATGTGTATATGCATCACATTGTAATTAGTGTATTTATAACCCTTTGCTTTGCTAAATTATAATTCCAACATAAAACACATTTCAAGAAAACTGTAGTTGAAAGAGGCTTACTCACAGCTCAAATGCAATGATCAGTATTCTGCTCTAGGAGCCCTAAACTATTTTTTCATTTTAAAAGCTCTGCCAATTTGTGTGAAGACGAGCATTTCGGTGTAACACACTGTGTTCTACATGTTCTTACCACTTTTATTTATTGCAGTAAATTCTGTAGAAGTGACTTGTCCTTTGGCACTTATTTGCTCTCTATGTACAGAACCAATAACTTCTTTTTCTCCTGTTTTCAGTTAATGATTATTTGAAGCAGGTACACTTTTCCACAGATACAAACCCTCGCATATGTTTATGTCATTGGATGCTCTTTGTCAGATGTTTTGCAAGAGCTCATGTCTGTCACTGGAAAATCCCTGAATAGTTCAGAGGTATAAGATTTTTACTGTAATGTCACGTTATCCAAATTAATCTGCACTCATTGCTCAACTTTGGATTCATGTCAAGAGTATGATAAAGCACCCCCAGCTTGTAGCCGTCTCCAATGGGTGCCAAATAACAATTGCTTACCGTTTGTGATCAGTCTGAACATCTCGTATTTTCTGCTACTTAGTTTGGTGTTTCATTACAAGCAGCTGCAGGAACAAAGGATGCAGTCTTCAAAGGGAGCTAAATGTGGGCCACCTGAGTGATTCTTGCCTGTAAACATTCCTTTGAATCAACA